AGGTGAGTTCTCCCCGACACACCCCTCTCTGCCCCCTGAGAGGCCTTGGATGCCAACACAGCTGCTTTGGGAATTTCTTCTTGCTCCCCCCAAGCCCCGCCCCCAGCACTTCACAGCAGGGAAGCCCCGTTGGCCAGCTGCCCCTCACCCAGACTGTGGACGCCTCTGGCTTAAGTGGCTCAAGTCTTGGGCGTGTTGGCCCCTGTATCCCAGAGAGCCACCGTGGAGGGGCCGGACACGGCCTGGGCTGAGGGAGCTTCCAGTCACTGGCCCTCCTGGGAGCGGGCGGTGGTTTTCTAACAGGACGGGGTGCTTCTGAACCAGCACAGCATCACCCGGCAAGCAGTGCCCAGGTGAGCATCGAAGGACCAGGAGGGGTCCTTGGTGGGTGGGGCCTGAGGGAGGGCCTCATTCAGGGGGCCCCGTGGGTGCCTGCTGCCTCCGCCTCTGGTCCTTGCAGAGATGCCATCGGCAGGCTCCCAGGAGGGCTTCCCACCATCTGTAGAGCCCAGAAGCCCCTACTCCTGTTCAGGCTCCCTCCAGAGACGCCCGCCTGCCTGGGCTCCCTCACCTGGGCATCTGGAGGGGGGCTGGGTGGTCTGCCTGCTTCCCCTCCCACTCACCCCAGTGCTTGCCTCCGTATCCAGGCCCTCACACCTGCCTCCCGTGCTGGGACCACGGGCGCATGAATGCGGAGAGGCGTGTGCCACGTGAGGGGCGGTCTCAGGAGGCCATACTTCGGGGTGGGGGCTTCCTTGTTCTCTGGGACGCCTTCCTCTGCCCCATGCAGGGCTCCCTAGCTGGCTCTGGTCCCCACCTCATCACTAGCCGCTGGCCCAAAGACCCTCCCTGTCCCAGAGACCTGTGGGTACTGGGCTGTTTGTCTTGTGGGTCCTTGAAAGCTCCTCTCTTTCCCCAATTCAAGCCAGGCCTTTAGGATTCAAAATAGACCTCACAGATCAGCAGTCAACCCGGCGAGTGATTTACCGTTTTAATGGAGGTCTCTTATTAGCGTCCATCACCTGCCACGAGTGGCCCCTCAGCTCCTCCTTGGACACCCCAGCTTCCTGACTTCGGGGACTTTCCCCTTCCCGTTCCCAGGCTTGAATGGGTTGGGTTTAAAAATATTTTTCCTGCAGCTACAAATGAGGACGCAGAGGAGCACAATGGCCCCCCCACTCCCTTTTCCCTCCTCCTCCCACTCTCTGTCCTTCTCCCCCTCTTTCCTCTCTCTGTCTGTCTGTCCCTTTTCTGTCTCCCACTATCCCTGTGTCTCAGGAAAACCTTCAGCCAGACTCCTGGCTGCGCCCCACCCGGGGGGCCCAGCAGCTGCGGGGTCTGGAGAGGCTGTGGGCCCAGTGACCTCTCTGAGGCTGCCATGGTGACAGCAGGCGGCCATCGCCACTGTTGCCCGTAAGTGGACCTCCCTCAGGTGGGTCTGGCTCCTTGAGGAAAAGTGGGCCCTGACCTGGCTGGCGTCCTGGGAATGTGAGCACCCGGTGCCGCTCCCTGCACACCCCCCTCTGTCACGCTCCGAGGTGCCTCCTCTAAAATTGAAATTTTTTTTAATTAAAGAAATATTTTTATTGATTTCAGAGAGAGAAATGGAGATAGAAACATCAATGATGAGAGAGAATCATTGATTGGCTGCCTCCTGCACACCCCACACTGGGGATTGAGCCCGCAACCCCAGCTTGTGCCCTTGTCTGGAATCAAGGCCCGCGTTCTACCCACTGGGTCAGCCCGGCCAGGGCTAACGTGGGGATTCTTGTGGGGGCCCGGTGAGGGCACCACCCTCGCTCTGGACAGGGCTTGGGCTGCAGGTCGCAGAGGCTCCCCTGGGGCCACCCGTACGCAGGCCTCTCCTCCCCATCTCACCCCTTCCTGTAAAAGGCAGAGCAGTCAGTACTCACTGGGGCACCCACAGCCAGGGGTGCCCTTCACCCTACAGCACCTTTGGGGGAGGGCGGGGTTGGGGTCTTTGCCTGAAGGGACTGCTGAGGCCAGCAGCTGCCAAAGGCCCCTGAGGGCTGAGGACCACTGGCCTTGCACCGTGGGAGGGTCTGTTCACGCCCAGCTCTCTCTCCCCCCTGGTGATGGCTGTCAGGGGCTGGGGGAGCTATGAGGGGACTCCTGTGGCCTTGGAGGCAAGGGCTGGACCCTGAGCCAGCCTCCAGGGCACGCCCCAAGCGGGCCTGCCCCCCCGCCAGAGGCCTGGGAAGACCAGTGCCCGGGAGTTGGGAGTTGTCATGCGAGTGCAAATGTGCCTAATGCACGGCTGACTTCCTCTTCCTTCCTCCTTCAGCGACAAGGCTTGGCCTAGTGTCTGGAAGAAGAGGCAGGTGGGGGAGCCGGGCTGGACCAGGAGACCTGGGAGGCTGTTAGGGGTGTGCTCCCCTGACCCCCACCCTGTCTCCCTCCAGCTGGACCCACAGAGGTCAAACCCCCAGTCTGCCCTGCTCTGCCCCCTCCTGGGAAGCAGCCCCCTGTGCCTGCCTCTTTCCTTGTCTTTTCCTAGTGTTCTCGAAAAGTCATCCTAATCGTAACGATTAATAACAGAGCACGTGGCAGCCCTTAAAGACGCAGAGCCCATTCTCTCCTGGCAGAGCCGGCTGTCTCTGAGCCGAGCCTTTGATGCCAGGCCTTTGTTCCCGTGTCCCTGCCCCGCCCTGCATCTGGGGTTGGAGGTGGGTGTTGGGGTGAGCATTTCGGCTGCTTCTCCATCAGGCGCTGGGCTTTCGCATTTTAATTGAACTGTCTTTGCTCAGAGATAGATGCTCTCACCGCATCCAGCTGCTCGCGTGGACTGGGGACCCGCCCGCAGTGCAGCGCGGCTGAATGAAAAGACGCAGCAGCTGGGCTGATGGGAGCGGGGGAGGGTTGGACACTGGTCGTAGCACTTTCTCTTTGTAAATAATGTTTCTGGGTAATGCATTTTGGAGAATGTGAAAAAAATAAAAGCTGCAGAAATGTTAATGATATCCACAGGACACAGCAGGAAATGAGAGCAATCTGGGACTAATAAAAGCTGAAATAGAATCTGTGCAGATATACAAGGCGCAGCCTTCAGAATGGGCTTGGCTTTGCGCATCTGGGCTCATAGCACAGCGTGGGGGTGGCGAGGGCAGCGCTGGGGCTGCAGGGGTGGCTTCCACCTGCTGGCCCCGCTGTGGGGAGGCAGCCAGGGTGCCTGCCCGGGACGGAGGGGGCCACCTGGGTGGGCCTCCTACAGCCATTGGGTCAGGAGGTACAGGGCTGCCCACCTGTCAGGAGCCTCCAGGCCAGAACTGAACTCTGCCCCAGCTCCTCGGGGCTGGCGTGTGGCAGCAGGCACCGCCTGTGATGTTTGATCCAAGCGCCAGAGATGGGAGTGCAGTGGCAGGAGGGCAGGAACATCTCGCATTGTCGGGGGCCTGAGATAAATCGGGAGGCCAGAGGGCGTCTGGCTTTGCCGGGCCTGGTGGGCAGGAGCTCGCCACAGGACGCGGGTCCCCTCTGCAGCCGGGATCGTCAGCACTGAGCCAGCGCCAGCTGCCGGCGAGGGCCCCGGAGGCGGGCTCCGGGGGCTGTCTGGCTGCCCTGGGCTCGCTGGGCCAGCCCCCACAGTGAATGAGGACGGGGCCTAGGTGGGGTCCTGGAGAAGAGGAGGGGTGAGCGGGGCCTCTTGGGGCAGCCCCTCCCCTCACTCCACATCTTCCCCTTCTCCCACCTGCATGTCTCCCTTCCCTGTGCTCTGTGCTTCCTCTGGTTTCTCCTAGAACCCTGCCGCCCACGCAGGCCACCCTCATCAGTGCTGGCCATGGAAGTCCCCACGCTTTCCTGGAGACTAGGGTGTGCAGGCCGAGCTGGGTCAGGGTCTTCCTGTCCCCTCCCCACCTCCACACCCCAACCCTGGTTGTGGGTAAATCCTGAGCCCCTGGGCTCCCCAGCCTGGGGTGTACCGTGCTCCTCCCTCTGCGAAGGGCCTTCTGAGGTGACCAGGCCTCCAGTCAGATGGGAGACCTGCAGCCTGGACGCTGACGGCTGGTCTGTTTTCTGAATCCAGTTGCTCTGCCCAGAGGGCCTTCACCCCAGCGTCATTTCCTGACCCGGAATCCTGCTTTGGGGTCGGCTAGGCCCCGCCAGGGCCCCAGCCCCTAAAATCACAAACAGATGGGCTCTTGGCTTGGTGTGACCTGGCCCTGACCCTGTGGAGGCCAAAGGGGCCTGTCAGGAGGGCCTGGGCTGCTTCACACACACACACACACACACACACACACACACACACACACACACACACGGGCGTGCACTCGCTCACTCTGGGCCATGCACTGTTTCCCTACCTGTCACATCAACAGGAGGCAGGGCCCTGTCCTGCACCCCTGGGAGTCCAGGAGGGGGTGTTGGGCCGACAGTGGCTCAGAGGCCCCTCATGGACGTCTGCTAGGAGGACAGCAGGGTCCCAATGGCGTGGCAGCAATGGGCGGTGTGTGTGCACGCGTGTGTGGTAGCTGTGCAAGCAGCTTCTCCAGCAGAGCAGGCCTTCCTGTTCCCGGCTCGGCCAGATCTGCTGACCCGCAAGACTGAGGCTGGGTTCCAGGATCCAGTGCCCTGGGGACGGGGGCACGGGAGTTGCTGTGTGGAATGATTTCCAGCTCAGGAAAGGGCTGAAAGGGATGGGGGAGAGGATGGGGAGCCCCGGGGGCATCTCCCCGGTGACCTGGATAGTTGGGCAGCTGGGTTTGCACCTCCCTCCCTCTCCCCCTTGGAGGGCAGCCACTTGGCCTGGCTCAGCCGCAGGTGATGGGGTGGGAGTCCGGTGTGTGCGCAGCTGGCGGGGGCCGGGGGGGGGGGGGGCGCGGCACCGGCAAGGGGACTTTCGGAGCTGTGGGGAGAGGGCAGGCTGGGTGATGGGGGGCAGGCAGGTTTTCTGCGGTGAAAGGAAATGGCCCATCTGAATTGCTTTCCCCCTGCCCTTTCCGTGCCCATCTTCCCTCCCCGGCCCCCTTCTCTTTTCGCAGACAACCAGCCCAAGTCATGCAGTCTTTCCGAGAAAGGTGCGGTTTCCATGGCAAACAACAGAACTACCAGCAGGCCTCACAGGAGACACCGCGCCTGGAGGACTACAGGCAGCCGAGCCAGGCCGGGCTGAGCTGTGACCGGCAGAGGCTGCTGGCCAAGGACTATTACAGCTCGCAGCCGTACCCGGGCTACGAGGGCGGAGCTGGCGCAGCTGCCAGCACCGCCCGCGGAGGCAAGGGCCTGCCCGCGCAGCAGGTCCTGCAAGGGAGGCCTGCGCTCTCCGGCTACGGCGTCCAGGACAGCAGCCTCTACCCGGGCCGCTATGCAGGCGAGGAGCGGCTGCAGGCCTGGGGGGGCCCCCAGCCGCCGGCCCCCCAGCCGCAGCCCCTGTCAGGGGGGGTGGGCAAATATGATGAGAACTTGATGAAAAAGACCGCGGTGCCCCCAGGCAGGCCGTACCCGGAGCAGGGCACCCAGCTGCCCTTCCGGACTCACGCCCTGCACGCGCAGCCCCAGCCGCCGCAGCCCCAGCCGCCCCTGGCCTACCCCAAGCTCCAGAGGCAGAAACTGCAGAACGACATCGCCTCGCCGCTGCCCTTCGCCCCGGGCAGCCACTTCGCCCAGCAGTCGCCCTCCTTCCCCACCTCCTCCACCTACTCTCCCGCCGGCCAGGGCAGCGGGCAGGGGACCCACTCCTTTAAAAGCTGCACAGTGCTGCCTGCCCAGCCCCACGATCGGCCGCTGGCGGCCAGCACCAGCCTGGCCCCGGGGCAGGGAGCCCAGAACCTGCATGCCTATCCGCCTGGCCGCCTCAGCTACAACCAGCAGAAGCCGCCGCCGCAGCAAGCCCTTCAGAGCCGACACCACGCTCAGGAAACCCTCCATTACCAAAACCTTGCCAAGTACCAACACTATGGGCAGCAAGGCCCGGGCTACTGCCAGCCAGAGGCGGCCCTCAGGACCCCGGAGCAGTACTACCAGACCTTCAGTCCCAGCGCCAGCCACTCGCCCGCACGCTCCATGGGCCGCTCGCCCTCCTACAGCTCCACCCCGTCACCGCTGATGCCAAACCTGGAGAGCTTCCCCTACAGCCAGCAGCCACTCAGCAGCGGGCCTTTTCCCGCAGGCGCCTCTGACCACAGCCACTTCATGCCCCTGCTCAACCCCTCCCCGACCGACGCCACCAGCTCCGTGGACACACAGGCCAGCAACTGCAAGCCGCTGCAGAAGGACAAGCTCCCCGAGAGCCTGCTGTCGGACCTCAGCCTGCAGAGCCTCACGGCCCTGACCTCGCAGGTGGCCAGCATCTCCAGCACCGTCCAGCAGCTGCTGCTCTCCAGGGCCGCGCCGCACAGGAAGGCCGCCAAGAGCCTGGCGTCCCGGACGCCGGAGCAGCACCGGAGCCAGCACTGCAGCCCCGAAGGCAGCGGCTACTCGGCCGAGCAGGGGGGCACGCCGCAGTCCAGCCACGCCGAGCCGCCCGAGGCCGACTACCTGAGCGGCTCTGAGGACCCGCTGGAGCGCAGCTTCCTGTACTGCGGCCAGGCCCGCGGCAGCCCCGCCAGGGTCAGCAGCCACGCCAAGGCCAAGCCCGAGTCCGTGTCCACCTGCTCCGTGACCTCACCTGACGACATGTCCACCAAGTCGGACGACTCCTTCCACAGCCTGCACGGCAGCTTGCCGCTCGACAGCTTCTCCAAGTTCGTGGCGGGCGAGCAGGACTGCCCGCGGCTGCTGCTCAGCGCCCTGGCGCAGGAGGACCTGGCCTCTGAGATCCTGGGGCTGCAGGAGGCCATCGGCGAGAAGGCCGACAAGGCGTGGGCCCCGCTGCCCGGCCTCGCCAAGGACGCCAGCAAGCCCTTCTCGCTGGAGAGCCACGGCGCCTGCCTGGAATCCGTGGCCAAGAGCGCGTGGCCACGGCCAGGGGAGCCCGAGGCCGCGCCCGAGGCCTTACAGCTGGACAAGGGTGGCAGCGCCAAGGACTTCAGCCCAGGGCTGTTTGAAGACCCTTCTGTGGGCGTCGTCACCCCGGACCCCAAGAAGACACCTGGCCCCCTCTCCTTCGGCCCCGGGCCCGGCCTCGGGGCTGCCACTACAGACCCCACGGCAGCTTTTGACTGCTTCCCCGATACAGCCGCCACCGGCTCAGCGGACAGTGCCAACCCCTTCTCCTGGCCTGAGGAGAACCTGGGGGATGCTTGTCCTCGGTGGGGGCTGCACCCCAGCGAGCTCCCCAAGGCTCTGGAGCAGGGTGGGAAGGCCTCGGATGGCATCGGCAAGGAGAATGCCCACGAGGCCTCAGCCTACCTGGGCTTCCGGGAGGAGGAGCCCGGGGAGAAGGCCACGGTGCCCCCGGACTCCAAGCAGGAGGAGGCGGGTGGGGTGAAGGAGGAGGCGGGCGGGCTGCTGCAGTGCCCTGAGGTAGGCAAAGCCGACGCGTGGCTGGAGGACGGCCGGCACTGCTGTGCCACCACAGATTTCGGGGACCTCCCGCTGCTGCCGGCCCCTGGCAGGAAGGAGGACCTGGAGGCTGAGGAGGAGTACTCGTCCCTGTGTGAGCTCCTGGGCAGCCCCGGGCAGAGGCCCAGCGTGCAGGACCCGCTGTCGCCGAAGGCTCCGCTGATGTGCACCAAGGAGGAGGTGGAGGAGGTGCTGGACCCCAAGGCCGGCTGGGGCTCCCCCTGCCACCTCTCCGGAGAGTCTGTCCTCTTGCTGGGTCCCACCGTGGGCGCCGAGTCAAAGGTGCAGAGCTGGTTTGAGTCCTCCTTGTCCCACATGAAGCCGGGGGAAGAGGGGCCCAATGGGGCGTTGACTCGGGGGGATCCTGCCGCCCTGGCCCCCGAGGCCTCCTTGGTCCAGAAGCCAAACAAGCCCGCCGTCCCCGAGGCGCCCATTGCTAAGAGAGAGCCCGTGCCGCGGGGCAAAAGCTTGCGGAGCCGGCGGGTGCACCGGGGGCTCCCCGAGGCCGAGGACTCCCCATGCAGGGCGCCGGTTCTGCCCAAAGACTTCCTGCTTCCAGAATCCTGCACGGGGCCCCCCCAGGGACAGATGGAAGGGGCAGGGGCCCCGGGCCGGGGGGCCTCCGAAGGGCTCCCCAGGATGTGCACCCGCTCCTTCACAGCCCTGAGTGAGCCCCGCACACCTGGACCCCCAGGACTGACCACCACCCCTGCCCCCCCAGACAAACTGGGGGGCAAGCAGCGAGCTGCCTTCAAGTCTGGCAAACGGGTCGGGAAGCCCTCCCCCAAGGCGGCGTCCAGCCCCAGTAACCCGGCTGCCCTGCCCGTCGCCTCCGACAGCAGCCCCCTGGGCTCCAAGACCAAGGAGACGGACTCGCCCAGCACGCCCGGCAGAGACCAGCGCTCCATGATCCTGCGGTCCCGCAGCAAGACCCAGGAGGCCTTCCCCTGCAAGCGGCGGCCCTCGGAGAGCCGGGTCCCCAGCTGCCGTGCCACCAAGAGGCTCCTTGCCAGCAGCCACCTGCCTGCCACATTCAAGGTCTCTGGCAACTCCCAGAAGGAGGGCCGGGCCAGCCAGCGGGCGAGGGCCCCCAAGCCCAGTGCAGGTGGCAAGCTCTCTGACCGGCCCCTCCACGCACTCAAAAGGAAGTCGGCCTTCATGGCGCCAGTCCCCACCAAGAGGCGGAACCTGGCCTTACGGAGCAGCAGCGGCGATGCCGGTGGCGGCCGGGGGGACGTGAAGGAGGAACAGGCTGAGGGCTCCCCCACCCTCTTCAAGAGGATGTCTTCTCCCAAGAAAGCCAAGCCCGCCAAGGGCACTAGCGAGCTCACCCCGAAGCCCCCGCCTCCGGAGACCCCCGACACCTGTCCGAAGCTGGCCTCTCGGGTGGCCTGCCAGGGAGCCATGAAGACCAAGGTGCTGCCGCCCCGGAAAGGCCGGGGCCTGAAGCTGGAGGCCATTGTGCAGAAGATCACCTCGCCCAACCTGAAAAAGTTTGCCTGCAAAGTGCCAGGGGCCACCCCTGGGAGCCCCCTGAGCCCGCCCCTCCCCGAGAAGGACCGTGGGCTCAAGGGTGCCAGGGGCAGCCCAGAGGGGGCGGAAGGACTCCTGAGTGTGGGCACCGGGCAGAAGCTCCTGGCAGCTTCAGGGACCGACCCGTTTTGCAGAAATGCATCCAACAGATCCTTAAAAGGCAAACTCATCAATAGTAAGAAACTGTCCTCGACGGACTGTTTCAAAACCGAGGACTTCACGTCCCCAGAGGCCCTGCCCCTCAGGAGGACGGTCCTGGCGCCGAAGAAAAGAAGCCGGAAAGGCAGGGCTGGAGCCCTGGGACTCCCCAAAGGCCCCCCGGAGAAGCAGCCCCATGCAGGCCCTGCTCTGCTCTTGACTCCCCGAGACAGGGCCAGCAGCATGCAGGGTGGCAGTGAGGACAGCCCTGGTGGAGGAAGCAAGAAGCCAAAGGTGGAGGAGCTGGGCCTGGCGCCCCAGCCCCCTGAGAGCAGGTCCTGCCAGCCCCAGATGAGGGCGCAGAAGCAGCCGGGCCACGCCAACTGCAGCAACTACTCCAAGCGGAAGCGCCTCACTCGGGGCCGAGCCAAGAATACCAGCTCCTCACCCTGTAAGGGGCGTGCCAAGCGGCGGCGGCAGCAACAGCAGCAGGCGCTGCCTCTGGATCCTGCAGAGCCTGAAATCCGCCTCAAGTACATTTCTGCCTGCAAGCGGCTGCGGGCAGACAGCCGCGCCCCGGCCTTCTCGCCTTTCGTGCGGGTGGAGAAGCGAGATGCATTCACCACTGTATGCACTGTTGTCAACTCCCCTGGGGAGGAGCCCAAGCCCCACGGGAAACCTTCCTCCTCTGCCTCCTCGTCCTCGTCCTCGTCCTCCTTGGAAGCAGCTGGGACCTCCCTGGCCACGCTCCCGGGAGGCTCTGTCCTGCAGCCCCGGCCCTCTCTGCCTCTCTCCTCCACCATGCGTCTGGGGCCCGTGGTCTCCAAGGCCCTGAGTACCTCTTGCCTTGTTTGCTGCCTCTGCCAAAACCCGGCCAACTTCAAGGACCTCGGGGACCTCTGTGGGCCCTACTACCCCGAACACTGCCTCCCCAAAAAGAAGCCAAAACTCAAGGAGAAGGTGCGGCTGGAGGGCACCTGTGAGGAGGCCTCGCTGCCGATCGAGAGAACACTCAAGGGCCTTGAGTGTGCAGCCGCCGCCGCTGCCAGCAAAGCCCCCAGGCCCGACGGCTCTGCTGACACGGCCAAGCAGGGTTCGCTGCGCACCAGTGCCCGGGGCCTGTCCCGGAGGCTGCAGAGCTGCTACTGCTGTGACGGGCGAGGGGACAGCGGTGAGGAGGTGGCCCCAGTGGCTGACAAGACCCGCAAGCATGAGTGCAGCAAGGAGGCCCCCGCGGAGCCTGGCGGGGACACCCAGGAGCACTGGGTGCACGAGGCCTGCGCTGTGTGGACGGGTGGGGTCTACCTGGTGGCCGGGAAGCTCTTTGGGCTGCAGGAGGCCATGAAGGTGGCCTTGGACATGGTAAGAGGCCAGCCCAGCCGGGGTGGGGGGGCTCGGGTCCCACAGGACAGGCAGTCAGGGAGCCCCTGCCTCTCCAGCACAACGATTGGGACCAATCAGCACATGACCGAGTATTCAGAGGAGCTGGGGCAGTTGGAGCACCCATGAGGCCGAGCACTGCCCCGCCTTGCCCAGGCTTGCCACTGCGGCCCCTCGCTGCCCAGTGCCCACTGCACACTCACCTGGCATCTCCCAGCTCTGGGCCCGCTGGCCTTACATGCTCATGGAATCAGCCGAGATGCTGAGGCTCAGAGGATGGGGCGCCTCCCAGAATTGAATGTCAGGGTGCCCACAGAGCAGGCTCCCCTGGCACCAGCACCTCAGGCAGTGGGTGGGGACTTGGGGACAAGCCCCTCAGACAACATGAGACGGGGTGTGTCCCTCCGCGAGCCCCCAGGCAGGTCCAGGGACCTCATAAACGGTGCTCAGAGCCCCTTGGCTGACACCTTGGCTCCGGTCCCAGCACTGCCCTCAACATCACCTGGCTCTCCCCAGCGCATCTCCAGGGTGGGAGGATGAAGTGAGTCAGTGGCGGTGAAGGTTGCACCAGCCACGCCCGGCCTGTCTGAGTGCCCTTGACATTCCTGGGCTAGAACTAGGGACAGCAGCAGGAGCCTTGTCCCCTCAGGGTGATGCCCGCATGGGGTGCCCAGGGATGCTTGCACTCCCCTCCGAGGGCTGCAGAGATCAGCAGAAGGCACCTGGGCCAGGGCCCAGGGCTCAGCATTCTCTCCCTGAGGCCGAGCTCCAGCCCAGCCCAGGGGTCTCGCCATCACCTCCTCGGCCCACCTCCACGTGGCCTGCCCCTCTCCGCCGGCTCACCTGCCCTTTGCCGCCCGCCTCGTGCCCACCCCTGGCTGTGGGCCAGCCACTGCCGCTGCCTCCTGTGTGTGGTCTCCCCCTGCGTGGGGACCCAGGCGGCTGCGCGCCCAGGGGTCCTGCCACTGGCCTCCATCCTCACGGAGGACACCTGGCCCCACAGGACACCCGCCGCTCCCTTCTCGGCTGTGGACAGCGGCCAGCCCTGGCACCCCCTCCCTCCTCACGCATTACTTCCTCCTCCTGCTGTCTGGGCACCGGCTCCTCGCAGCCCAGAGTCCTGAAGTAGGTCCAGGCCTCCTGGTGCTGAAAAGAATACCGGCCTCAGGCCCCAGGCCTGCCCGTGCTCCGCCCTGCACCCCCCACCACACCTCCCTGCCCCCGGGAGCCGGGCCTGGGCTGGCTGGGGAGGGCGACTGGTTGACGCAGCGCCCTCTGGGAGACAGGCAGGGTCCAGGGCCCCCTGCAGCCCCCAGCCCAGGCCTCCTCCCAGCGGGGTGCCGGCGGGCCCCAGCTCTGCTGCGGGTGGCCTGCGACCCCGGACACGTCACTGCCTTCTGCGAGTCTTGGTGCCCAGCCAGCCGGCAGGCGGGTCAGCATTCGCCTTGCTTCTCTCTGGAGGAGCAGAGCTGTGGGCCCCGGGGACACCCAACCTGCTGCTCTGAGCCCTGCCACCTCCTGGGACCTGCTTGCGGTTTGCACAGTCCAGCCCTAGCTCGGAACTGCGGGCCGGCTCCTCTCCGAGGCCTGGCCGGGCGCTGAGGGTGCGGGTCTGCTGAGCCCGGCCGGAAGAGGAGGCGGCAGCATAGCTGGACCCCTGGGCCCTCCAGCCTGGGCTCCTGCCGCAGGGCCGCACCCCTCTTGGCGGGTCAGAGGCCCGAGTGCCTGTCCTTCCTTGCTCCGCAGCTAAAGCGTCTGCCCAGGCCTGCTGGGCGGCTGCCTGCCGAGGAGCCCCTGGCCTTACCCTTTGCCCGTCCCAGCACCCGAGGGCTCCTTGTGGGCTGGACATGAGCCTAGTCTGGGGCCTCCACTCCTGCTTCCTCTCCCCTTTTGGGATAGGAACTGGCATGGGGGACACCCTGAGCAGAAGGAAACCACCTGGCAGAGGCCCGTGTGAAGCAGCCCAGCCTCCACCCTGCAGCCCCTGCTCCCACTTGGCACAGAGGGCACCTTCCCCACTGGGTCTCCCCCCGCCTCCCAGCTGCTGGGCTGGGTCCCCCTCACCCCACCCGACCATTACAGCCTTGCGAGTGGTCTTTATCAGCCCAACTATTCATGAGCTGTGTACCCTCAGGCCAGTTGCTTAGCCTCTCTGAGCTCATTGGTAACCGGGGTCATAATCTGTAGTTCTCTGTGTCAGCAGCTTAGCCTCCACCCTCTGCCTCTCTCCTGAGCGTCCCTCCCCCATCCCTGCAGCCTGTGGTCTAGACAAGTCTGCACGGTTTGGGACCCGACTTGTCCCTCCCCAGGCCCCAGATTTCGCTCCACTTCCAAGGGCCTCCTGGCCTGGTCGTCCTGTCCGGGCCACCCTTTCCCCGGCAGCGTGGGCGTGGGCAGCCCCGCTCAGCAGACCGCCATTTTGAGACCCACAGTGGGCCAGCCCCTCAGGATTGGCTGTCTCTTCCCTGGTCCCAGGAAGGGCAGGGCTCACCCTAGGGTGGCCTGACTCCCAGCCCAGTGCTTGTCGCTGCCAGCGAGGGAGGAGGGATGCGCACGCCTCACTTGCCTGAGGGCGTCGCTTTCGTGGCCGTGTGGTCCGGGTCACCGCCTCCTGTGCTGCTCTCGGAGTTGGTGGGAGAGGACACGTTCCACGTGCGGCAGCCCCGCCCGCTGGCGGCCACGGCCACACTGCGCCTGGCACAGGCGCTCTTGCCGGCTGCTGGGCACACGGCCCCTCATGTCATAGTCACGACCGCCCGGGAGGGAGGCACTGTCGGCCGCGCAGGCTGAGTGGGTGGCTCGGCGAGGCCACGCAGTGCAAGGGGTGTGGTGCCCCGGCCAGGTGTTCACCCACAGTCATTCCTGCCCGTCCCGGAAAGGGTTCCCCACCGAGGCGGCAGCCAGGGCCGCCGCAGAATCCACCCCGTGGGCATTGGCACCCCATTCTGAGCCTCCTTCCAGCTCATTGTCAGGGGCCATTTTGTGGGCAGGAGGCGGGAACCATGCAGGGCCTGTCTGTCGGGCCCTGCCCAGCCCTCGGGGGCACTCACCATCTCCGCTTTCCTCACCAGACGTGTTCCAGCTGCCAAGAATCCGGGGCCACCATCGGGTGCTGCCACAAAGGGTGCGTGCACACCTACCACTACCCGTGTGCCAGCGATGCAGGTGAGAGCCCTCGGGCGCCTGGGCACAGCCTCCGACCCCCGCCGCTCGGCTCCCCTCCGCTCCTGCCCGGTCCTCCCTCTCCACCCCTCTCCGATCAGAACCTGCGCTAGGCAGCACTCGGGCGTGGAGATGCCGTCCGGTCCTCCCTCTCCACCCCTCTCCGATCAGAACCTGCGCTAGGCAGCACTCGGGCGTGGAGATGCCGTCCGGTCCTCCCTCTCCACCCCTCTCGATCAGAGCCTGCGCTAGGCAGCACTCGGGCGTGGAGATGCCGTCCGGTCCTCCCTCTCCACCCCTCTCCGATCAGAGCCTGCGCTAGGCAGCACTCGGGCGTGGAGATGCCGTCCGGTCCCCCCTCTCCACCCCTCTCCGATCAGAGCCTGCGCTAGGCAGCACTCGGGCGTGGAGATGCCCCCGCCACAGCAAGGAGTGCTCAGAGGTGCAAAGCACAAGACAGGGAGCTGTTTGAAAAGCCGCAGGGCCAAGGGGTGGGGAGGGTGTCAGGTCTCAGGGCTTTGAGGCTGAATAGAAGCTCACTGGGCGGAGGAAAAGGGAAGGACATACGTCAATGACAAAAACCGCGTGGGGTGGGAATGGGGTTCAAAACCGTGTTCACGGAGCAGCTGGAGAGGCTCTGACCGGGGCTCAGAGGCCTTGGTTCATCTGCAGAAGGACCCTGGTCGTGTGCCGTGTCAGTCGTGGGGGAGGCAGGATTTAAGGAGCCTGGTGGCGGGGCCCCTGGCATCTCTGCACTCGGTTTCCCATCTATAAACTGAAGTTCGCGTACCCTTCTTTCCCGAGCTGCTCGGAGCTGGACAAGGAGCCCTGCCCAGCAAGTGCAGCCTCACTCCTGTTTTGGAGCCAGCCCCCATGACCCCTGACCCCATGCCCTGCTCCCCAAGGCCTTCCTTCTCTGGCCTGGAAGGGGTGACATTATCATGACCCACCGTGGAGCACTGCCCCTCCCCCTGGATGCCTGCTGCTCCGGCTCTGCCCTGGGGATCTTCCCCGCCCCCCGCCCCCCGCGGGAGCACACACAGGGGGCTGTGGGGTGAGCCCTTCAGGGGGGAGGGGGCTGGAGCGGGGATGGGGCCTCGCTGGCTCTAACCTTCCACTCAGCACGGAGCTGGATTTTAACGTGGGCTCTGCCGCTTCCCCAGCCCGTGGCCTCATTCACAGCCAGAGCTGCCGCACGGTGCATCCCACTGAACAGGGGTGCACCCCACTGCCGGGCCGTCAGCCCTCACATCTTCACAGACACGCTCCCTCGGCCGTGGCCACAGAGCGCGGCACAGACAGACCTGGCGTGGCTCCCTGGGTCTCCCATCTCGTACTCTTTCTCCCCCCAGCACTGCCCAGCCCCTCGAGGCTCCCATTTGAGAGGGACAGACAGGAAACCACGATCTTTGTGCAAAATTACGGAGACTAGACAAGGAGAGAGTGTATGCTGTGGGAGGTCCATTCTTTCTGAGCTGGGGGCGGGGGGAAGGGGGGAATCCAGGAGGACTTTCAAGAGGAGGCAACCTGTGAGCCTTGCTTGGAAAGGAGGTGGGCCCAGCTGGTGAGTGTGGGATGCGTGTGCCAGGCTGTGAAGCCTTCAAAGGAGCTCAGCAAAGGAGGGCTCTCTGCAGCCTGAAGCCGCGACAGGAAGGGGCTGAGGCTGGGAAGGGCAGGGTAGAGAGCTGACGGGCACCCGGGCACCCGGGCAGGGGAGGAGGTTTGCCGGGTCCAGTAGAACCTGCGTCCCAGAGACTCGGCACAGAGCCCACACCTGGGTGTAGGTGAGGGAGAGGCGACGGGGCCCGCTGGCCACCCTCCCGGGGCAGGCAGGGCTGAGGCGGGTGCCATAGTGCATTAGGCACTGCTGCCAACTTCATTGCTCAGACACCAGCCCTCCTTCTTTCTCAGGAGGGCACGGGCCACTGGCAGGCTGTGCTGAGTTCGCAGGGGCCACGGTCCACGCTGGGCCAGCTCAGGCAGGACGCCCTCCTGATCATGTGGCCTCTGTCCTCCTGCGGCCTCTGCCTGGGACCCGTCGCTGCAGCCTGTAGCCAGAGCAGGCCGCGTGCAGAGCCTCCCGGCACAGGCCGGGTACAGGCAGGGGGTACGCGGGGCTCTCCAGGTATCCGGGTCAGGCTCAGACCACAGGGCACCAGGGCTGCCCGCTCACTGCCCTGCCCCATTGGATCTCCTTAAGGAGCACCACTCGGGGCTAAGCCGCGACCCCAAGGACGGGCAGGGACAGGACCCCACGGCTGCCTTTCCACACTCGGGCCAGGGCCACCGTGCCAGCGAGGTTGCAGGCTCCCCTGGCGCAGCCACCAAGAGGGCCCAGGGACGGGGCTTGGGCCCTGGAGGGCTCTGGGCAAGCTGGCTGTGGAAGGGCAACCCCTTCCCTTGGCTTCTGGCGACTCAAGCTCTGGGCTGCAGGGCCTCTAGGCGGTCTGTGTGTGTGGGCGGCAGGGGTGGTGGGGGGGCGGGGAGTGCGTTTTGTGTGCTGTGGGGGAGCCTGGGGTTTTAGCCTGAAGCCCTTTGGAAAGTGTGAATTCAGCCCCAGCACCGGTCTGGCTTGCCTGAGCTCAGGAGACACGGGACCCACTTCCAGTTGCTGGCCCTGCCATGCAGAAACTCGTGGCCGTTTTCAGAACGTGGGGGCCCCCAGCTTCTGGGGGGGGGGGGTAGAAAAAGAAGAGGCAGCCTCGGAGAGGCCTGGAGCTTTCCAGGCTGCAGACCTGCCCCACCTCCCCCTCCGCCTACGAGCCACCACGCTATCCTGGTGCCACTGCCCAGAGCCACCACCGCTGGCCACGCCAGCAGGAGGACTCCCTGTGGCCACTGGGGCTGGCTGTGGGTTTAGGGTTTATTCTGAACAGTGTCAGGTGGGGCATGGGAGGGAGGGGCGTGAGCCCAGGACTAGGCTGACTAGGGTGTGGGGTGGGTGGGGAGGGGTCCAGGGAAAAGCCAGGGTCTCCCTAGGTGGCAGCAGGTGCGGAGTGGGGACAACAGCACTGCCCTGGCTGAGAGCATCAAGGACTGGCCATGCTCAGCCGCCTCTGGTCTCCCAGGGTGGGCAGTGCCCTGGCACTCAGGTGCCTGCGGGCATGTGCTCAGCCCCACGCCAGGCCTGCCTCCCCTCCGGGCCCCGCAGGAGCAAGTTTACACCCACACCTGGCGGGAGCCTGCACACGCCCCTCGTTACCCCATGTGGACACAGTGGGCGCCCTAGTGCCCTGTTACCGATGTGGAGACCAAGGCTCAGAGGAGGAGCTGATGCTCAAATCCAGACCCCTGGCTGCACCACCCAGTCCCTTAACATTCATTCAGTGAGCATCGCTGGGCATCAGAGCCTCTTCTAGGGGCGCAGCGCCCCTCCCCCCAGAGGGCGCGGGGAGAGCCGGGGTGGGGCCTGCTACATCTAGGGAGTCAGGAAGGCCTCCGGAACCAGCGGTGGCAGGTGAGAGGACAGGAAGGCCAGCAGGGCAGAGGAGGGCAGAGGCCCAGCGGCGAGATTACCTGTGGAGGAGTTCAAATGGGTCTGGCTCTCTCCCTCTTTGCAAAGAACCCCTGTAGGCTGGGGCCTGCCCTAACCACACCCACTTCTCTTGGCCACAGGTTGCGCGTTCACCGAAGATAACTTTTCTTTGAAATGCCCCAAGCATAAGGTAGGTGACCACAGGCCTCCGGAGGCTCTGGGCTGGAGAGGGGCCTCCCTTCCCTCATGCCCTTCCATGCTCTTCGGACTGATGGAGGGAGTGCTTGCCCCACCCCCAGATGCCAGCCCCACCGGCCCACGGCGGCCCCAGCCCTGGGCCTGGGCAGGTCGGCACTTGCTGCCCATAAAGATGCTTTACAAAGCTCGTGGGTCCTGAGGGAGGGCCCCCCGGGCGGGAGACCAGGGAGGATAGGCAGGGGCACGGGACTGTGGACAGGGCAGGGCGAGGGCTGGGAGGAAGGAAGAGCCTGGCAGGGGGCCAGCTGCCTCCAGGCGAGACCCCAGCCCCGCCCTCAGGGAGCCTCTGGGGCCGCGGGTCTAGGGGTGCGGGCAGCGCACAGGCCGGGCGTCAGTAACGGGCGGGCGTGTGCTCTTCTCCTGCAGAGGCTTCCATTGTAACCGCCGAGGCTGGGGAGGCGGCGACCTGCCCGCGAAGGAGGGGCCTCTGTGCAGCCGGCCGGGACTTCTCAGGGCCACCCTGACCTGAGGGTCTTGGATCTGGCTGCCCAGGGCTGAACCACCAGGTCCCGGGTTGGGAAGAAAACAGGTTCTGGAGCTGCCTGCTCCCGGCGGACGACAGCATTCCTACCCACACCCAGGCCAGGCTTGGGAAGGGGCCCAGGTCCCCGCAGGGGTGGGCGCCGCGCCGCCCACTGGGAGTTCCGTCACGGTGGTGCTACCCGCACAGCTGCGCCCAGGAGCTGGGCCGAGGGGCCTGGAGGTGACAGAGGGTGGCTCCTAGGAGTGGGGGGTGGGGTGGGGCTGCAGGGGGTGGGCCAGAGGCTTTGGAACAAACCACCCAGGACGTGCCCGAGTGCCCTTCCTACCCAGCATTTGCCAAAACCTTCTTGTAGTTTGAGCAGAGCCAGGAGAGCCGGGGGCCATACCCAAGAGATGCAGGTTCCCGGGGGTAAGCTGGACTGGGGGGGCACCCCTTTTGCTTCGGTTCTTCCCTTTTCCAGTCCTCCACCCACCCCTGAGCCACCTGGGGCCCGGAGGAGTCTCCTCAGAGGCCAGCTCCAGCGGACCGTGGTGTCCCTCTGACGACCCTTCTCCGGGACCGCAGCACCCACCCGCCCACAGCAGAGCAGCCTGGATCTGTGTGCAAACCTGTGTACCCTCCCTCGATGTTGCATAGAATGTACATATGTGGGGAACATGCTCGCTTCTCCGTGTGTCGCTGCCGTCGTCGCGCACGCCTCAGCACAGGCCCCGGGGGGCACAGCGAGGGCGCCTGTCCCTTGCGGCCCCCCAGCCCAGGCCAGTCCCTGGGCCCCCTGCCCTCAGCTCTGTCCGTGCTTCAATAGGCCTGAGGCAGCCCCAGACCGGGGCACCTAGCAAATTCCTGTACATAGACTGTAAAATGGTAAACGTGTGTATTATATCTGGCCTCGTTATATAGTGTATATATATGTATACATATACATATATATAATATATATGAAGACTGTAAATGTTAAGACTAGTGTTCTTATTAGTATATTGCTTCACACTGAAGATTGTGTGTATCGAGCTGTTTCTAAAAGATGTTTATTTTCCTTAAGAGTAAAAAACAGTCATTGCATTCAGAAAAAAGTCAATAAAGATACGATTGTTTTGGAAGTCTGCAGCCCGTGGGTTCGGAGCAGATCGGCCGGGCCGGGCCGGGCTGGAGGAGCAGGTGGGCGTGGGGCAGAGGGGGCAGCTCAGGGCGCCAGCGGAGTCGGGCTTCCGGCTGTTTCTCAGGACCAGAACGCAAGGCCCTGCCACCGAATTAACACTGCCCGCAGCCCAGGGCAGAGGGTGCAGGCCCCGCAGGTGCCTGGATGACGGGGGAAAGGTGGGTGCTCCCCAGACATTCAGGGGGACTGGCTTGTAGATTGTCAGCAGATCCTCAAGGACACTGAGCTGTCGTCCATGCCACCTGGGAGTGGGCGGGGTAGAGGCCCAAACGCGTGGCCCAGAGGTCAGTGGGGTCCAGGCCTATGTCGGGGGAAGACCCCGGACCCCTCTGGTCGGCACCGCGTAAGCACACACCCTCCCCAAAGAAACAAAACCCAGATTATAAATAATTTCATTTTTTATTCTGTACAAAACTTCTCAACCTATGAAAATAAAGTTTATAAATGGCAAAGTAACACTTGAGCCTCAGAGGCCAGGAAAGCCATCGGCCCCTCAGCTAAGGGAGATGCACCCTCTTCCCTCCACCGGGTGCCTGCAGAGCAGCGGCGACAGACCCGACCGGCTCCTGCAATTCCCCGACCGGCCACCAGAGGCCAGCACCATCCTGGCCTCGGTGCCTCGGGTTGGCGAGTGGGCAGGGGGTGTCGGGGTCCCGCTCCCTCGGGCCTCCCAGGTCAAGAGGCAAAAGCCCCCAAGGATCTCCCCTTCGTCCCCATCTCCTGCCGATGCAGTGCGGCCCCTGGGTGCATCGTCGGCACTGGGGCCTCTGGCGCTGCCGTTGGCCTGCGAGGCTCCAGCCGCGACACAGCCCAAGGGCAACCAGGCCCTTCACACGGGGCGTGGGCGGGTCTAGCTGGAGGTGACGGTGGTCCCGCCGCCCAGGCGCATGAGCATCTGCTGGCAGTCGTGCAGCAGCCGGCGGTCCCCGAGCTTCTCGAGCATGCGCTCCGCCTCGGCCAGCATGCCCACGCGCTGCCCGGGCACCGCCAGCAGGCAGGGCGGCAGGCAGCAGGAGGCCAGCAGCAGGGCCTCGGCGTGCTCCCGCCGGGGGCGCAGCTCCACCTCCGCGGCGCCTGCACAAGACACACCGCAGAGCCGATCAGGGCGTCGCCCTGCCCGCGCCCATCCCAGGCCTCTGGGAGCCTCAGACCCTCTGGGCCGCGCGCAGAACAGACTGGGAGGCACATGGGCACAGTCACGCATCCCACAGTCGCTCATTGCAATTCTCAGACACACCCTGTCCAGGCTGCTCCACACCTGGGCGAGAGGATTAGGCTGGCCCAGCGCCCCCACCCCGCCCCCTAAAGGCCCCGCCCCCTAAAGGCCCCCGCCCCCCTAAAGGCCCCCACCTCCCTAAAGGCCCCCGCCCCTAAAGACCCGCCCCCTAAAGGCCCCGCCCCAAAGACCACGCCCCTAAAGGCCCTAGTCCCCTAAGGCCCCGCCCCCTAAAGGCCCCGCCCCTAAAGGCCCCCACCTCCCTAAAGGTCCCCACCCCCCTAAAGGCCCCCGCCCCCTAAAGGCCTAAAGACCCCGCCCCTAAAGGCCTAAAGACCCCGCCCCGAAAGGCCTAAAGACCCCGCCCCTAAAGGCCCCGCCCCCTAAGGCCCCCCCCAAAAGGCTGCCCCTCTCACCGCCTTTGCCGCAGGCACCTGCCCTCTTCCTCAGACTGCGGTCCAGGAGCTGCTGCGTCCGCGTGGGGCTGGCCCCCGCCATCAGCCGGGCCGTGGCCTCATGCAGGAACACCTGGGCAGGAGGGGCCGGGTGAGTCCGGGTTCAGGCCAGGCCCCCTCTCCCACCAGCTGCTTCCTGTGCCGCGTGTGAGGGGCGCCCGGGCACTCACCCTCCGCATGGCGGGCTGGAAGCTCTGTGCCAGGCGCCTCAGGCCGCTCAGGTCCCGCTGGAAGCCACGCAGCTCGAGGGCTGAGGCCTGGGCTCCGCTGCCCTGGCCCTGCGCGGCCTGGGCTGGTGCCGACGGCTGCTGCCTCAGCCACAGGCTGGTGCGCGCCCCAAGGAGCAGGTCACACAGGAGCAACTGCATGGCCTGGGGGTGGCGGGCAGGGCAGGGTCACGGGGGCTCCAGCCCTGGGGGGGAGGGGGGCCTGCGGTGCCAGGGGCCGGCTCCGGGCTGCACTGCCGAGGCACTGCACCCACCTCACACATGCAATGCAACAGCAATGCACCTCGGGACCGCCCGCTCTCCAGGCCCCACGCCCACCGCCTGCCAACTGCGCACCCAGCCCTCCTCAGCGGACGGGAACCGGAGGCTAAACACGGGTAACCACTGTCCCCTGGACTCAAGCCTTGGCCAGGCAGCAAAGCCCGCTGGGCCCCCAGTCCTGCTCCTTTGGGCGACCCGGTCTTCTGCAAGGAGTGGAAAGGCCGCCACCCGCAGACCTGCAGGGCCCTGGCCCCGCCCCTCACCTTGTCAATGGAGCTGCCGGCTGTGGTGATGGCCAGGCTGTCCTGCAGGTACCCACTGGCCTTCTCACAGAGGGCCAGGCTGGCCGGGCTGGCCTCGGTCTTCCTGCGGCCCAGCAGGGCCCGGGCAGCCTTGAAGGAGAGCAGAGCTGCCCTGGGCAAGGGTCTCCTGTGGGGGCCAGGGTGGAGGAGGGGGGGTCAGAGCAGGCGCAGGCCCTCAGAGCCCCCCACCCTGGTTCCAGCTTCATGGCAAAGACCGTGGGGATCCCCACCGCACAGAACAGGGCAGGGGCTATCCCGCACTCACTCGGACTCCTGCAGGGCGCGGGGCAGGCGCTCCACCAGCGGGTACAGCCGCGCCGCAGCCTCCTCGTCCTGCCGCCGCCAGTGCGCCACCACAGCCGTCAGCGAGGCCCACCATGTGGCCACCGGGTCTGTGCCTGAGGGAGCAGGGGTGCAGATGGGAGCGTCCCTGAAACGGCCAACCTGCACCGGAGGCCACCCTGCCGTGGAGCAGGGGCGGGGTGGGCAGTCAGGGGCAGGGCCAGGGCTCACCGGTGGCGGCGGCCATGCTGGAGCCCGTGGAGAAGCTGCACGCCGGGGCCCCGGCCGCGTCAGAGCAGCTGTGCAGCAGCTGGAGGTACCCCAGGGCATCCGAGAACTCCCTGTGGTGGGAGACTGGAGTTAGGGCAGGCGGCCAGGCCCCGGGCGTCCGGGGGGCACTGGCCCTTCACCCCTCCCCCACAGCACATCCTGCTGTCCTGGCTCTGAGTGGCACTATCACCTCCTGCCCAGCTGGGGGGAAACACGCCCGTTTCCGGTGAGGAGCTGAGACCCACCTGAGGCCACCATGGTGAGCGGACAGCCACCTGCTCTGGCCACCTCCACAAGCCCCAGACACAGCCATTCCCAGACCGCGCAGCAGAGGGCTCCTGCCTCCTGGGGGCGTGAGGACGGGACACTCACCTGTCCCCATCGGCTGATGCAGGGCTGGGGCTGGGCTGGGCCACGCAGTTCAGTGCCCGCTCCAAGAGGTGTTCTCGGAACAGCTGGGTCACCTGGGCCAAGGGGTCCACTGCGGGGAGGAGCGGGTGAGTGGGAACTGCCTCGTCTCCACATCCCCCTCCTGGGCACACGGGGCTTGGCTCCGGGACGGTAAGTGGGTGGATAAATACCCTGCCCCTGGCCTTTGACAGCGTAACCTACCTGGGCTGGTGGAGCCGGCTCCCTGAGCTCCCTCACCTGCTCCGCCCTCCCGCTTGACCGGCTGCGGCGGTGGCACAGGTCACCGCCCACATTCGCCACCTGCCCCACACCCCACTCGTTTCCTTCTGAAGAGGCCTGAGAGACCAGCCCCAAAGCAACAAGAGACAGCCAGGAGCGGGCAGGGCGGCCAGGGACACCCGGGATGCAGGGACAGGGACGCAGCAGGAGTGAGGCTAGGAAATGGGAGTGGAGAACAAAGGCTGAGGAGGGCAGGGCGTGGGGCGGGGAGGGCACCTGGGTTCCCGGCCGAGCTGTACAGGCTCTCCCTCGGGGGGCTGCCCACAGCCCAGTCCCCATCCACGAAGAAACGGTGGCCCACAGGGTGGCAGAGCCACTGCAGGGCAATGGGCACTGCGCCACTCTGCGCCAGGCAGGCCTGGCGGGCACTGCTCAGGAAGAGGCGCTGTGGGGAGGGAGGTGGGCTGTCACGGCCCCGGCAGTGCCCGCGGGCCTCATCCTGTGCAGCCCCGGAGCCGGTCAGAGCTGCCAGCCCCCTGCCCCCCCCGCACCCAGCCCCACCCACTCACTGTCAGAAAGTGCAGGGCCCGCGGGAGGTGGGTCTTCACAGTCAGTGCAGCGGCCGCGTAGATCTCGGCCAGCGTGGCCGCAGACACGGCGTCCCCCGCACATTCCGCCAGGTTCAGCGCGCTCAGCGCCAGGTTGGCAGCAGTGAGGCGCCCGCCCGCGTACTTCCCTGGGAGGCGGACAGGGCGTGAGGCGGGGCGGCACAAAGGCGGCGGGAGCCCCCGCCCGGCTCCGTGCCCGCGTACCCGTGGCGAGCAGCTGGTGCAGCCGGTGGTAGGCCAGGGCCGCGTCCCGGGCACTGGCGCGGGCATCCGCCTGTAGAGCGCAGTCCCGCTGCAGGCCCCCAGCCCGGCCCGCCAGCCAACGGCCCAGCCAGAGCCGCTGCAGCAGGTGGCGGAGGAGGTTCCAGAGCAGGCTGCAGGCCAGGTCCAGGGGGCAGGTGGGCAGGGGCCGGCCCAGCGCCCGGAGGGCCAGCTGCAGCTGCTGGGAGGCCTGGGCGCAGTCCCCCTGGGAATAAGGTTTCCCGGTGAAGCCAGGTCAGAGCGCCCTGAGCACATCCCTCCAGCTCTGAAGGTCCCCCCAGCTCTGAGGGTCCCCCCAGCTGGGATCCCCGCAGCGCTGAGCTGGGCCCGCGGGTCAGGGGGAGACTGAGCAGCCGACAAGAGCGGAGAGGACAGGCTGGTTTCCTGGCCCGCCCGGAGGGCAGGGAGGAGCGGGTGATGCCAGGGCCCACCCCGTTCCGGCCTGCCCTTACCCTGGCCAGGTCCAGGTCCGCCTGCTTGCGGTGCCTCCAGAAGTGCACGGCGGGGCCCGAGTGGGGCCGCGTGACTGGCTCTCCATAGACAAAGAGAAGCGCCAAGGAGCCCAGCGCCAGCAGCCCGTTAGTCAGCCAGACCAGTGGGGGCAGCAGCCGCGGCGCCCAGCCAGGGCCCTCTGTGGGCAGACAGAGGCTGGGGGCAGAGCTCCCAAGGCATGCAGAGCCCAAGCCCACAGGCCTGGAGTCTGCATCCCCAGGGTCTCCCCCCGCCCCCACCCAGCGAAGACACCCACGCCAGCCTGTCCTACCTCTGTCCTCAGTGCCCAGCACACTGCGCCCAGAGCCCTGGTGGGTGCTGGTGGCATCCAAGGGGCCAGGGAGAGCCCAGCTGCCCAGCAGGGAGGCCAAAGGGTTGCAGGAGAGACAGAGGAAGAGGAGCGCACACAGGGCCAGGCGGGAGCGGTCCAGCAGGCCCCGGCTGTGGGCGGGCGGCGGCGGCTCCGGCTTCGCCTGGGGGGCGGGCAGGGTGAGGACCGCAGAGGGTCTGGGGAGCGTGGCTGGGGCAGGAGGGACAGCGCTCTTCCCACCCTCACTAGGGGACCCCACGTGCCCGGGCCTCAGGCTTTCTCTCTATAAAATGGGAGGTGGGACATGTTGGGCTTCTTCTGACCCAGTCCTGGGGTCAGAGGGTATCGCTGGGAGCCAGGCAGGGGCCACCCCGCAGGCCCCACCTGGCTGTCCTCGAAGACGGGGCTGTCGGGCTCCGAGTCGCTGCCGCCGCCGCCGCCCTTGCTGCTGAGGGACAGCGGGCTGCTCCGGGAGGGCGAGCCTGCGTCCGACGGTGGTGGGCTCAGCGTGTCCACCTCAGGCTTTATGCCCTCCATGGGCACGTCGGCGTCTCCTCCACCGCCACAGGCTGACACCAGGTCCCTCAGAGGTTCTACAGGCAGGAGAGGAGTGGGGTGGGGGTTAAGGTAGAGACCCTGCCCCACCCACATCAACTTAGGGCCCTGGGGGAGGGAACTGGGAGCTGGCCTAGCTTCTGAGGGCTAATTTAGGGGAAAAGAGAAGCTAAGGGCCTAGGGTCCTTGTAGGGTCAGAGCTTAAAGAGAGACGGGGTGGGGCAGGGCCAGAGCAAGGGGCCCTGGGAGGCCAGGACTCACTGCTTTTATGCGCAGCAGCGCGCAGACTCAAGTTTTCCTGCTTGAGTTTCTGGTTGCTCTGCTGTAGAAAGCGAATGTAGTCAATGGCCTTGCGCAGGACAGCAGATTTATTCAGCTGCAGGAGACAGCACAGTGGCCAGTCAGGCCTGGCAGGTGGGCACCTGAGCAGGGGGTGGGGCTGCTGGTGGGACAGCTGCCCCAGGGCCTTTGCACTGGCTGTTCCTGCTACATGGAATGCTCCTCCCCTGGTGCACCCAACCTCACAGGAGGGGCATGAGGGTTAGTACGTAAAATGCCACAACAGTGCCTCACTAACCGCTGGTAGCATTACTGCCACCTTCATGGCTCACTTCCTCACCCCCAAGTCCCTGCCTTACACCTGACACTTGGTGAGGCTTTTCCTGACCTGATTCTCGTTGGCACCTCCCAGTCCTCTCCCTGCGTAACGTGAGCCATTGGGGCCGTCCACCCGTCACTCATCTCTCATGTATTGTCACCCCAACTAGGACGTCAGCTCCGAGACAGGAGGGTTTGTGTCTGTTCTCTTTATCCCTGGTGCTTAGAATAGCCCCGGGGCACAGGGAGCCCCCAACGTTTAGCCGAATAAATAAAGTGGCCAGACCAGCAGACTGATGCGCCCCCACATCAGGCCCAGGCCTCCTCCTCCCCCAGCAGCCTCCCTCCCGAGTGCCCTCTGCCTGTGCTGGCACCTTCGCCAGACCAGCAGACTGATGCGCCCCCACATCAGGCCCAGGCCTCCCCCCCCAGCAGCCTCCCTCCCGAGTGCCCTCTGCCTGTGCTGGCACCTTCGCCAGACCAGCAGACTGATGCGCCCCCACGTCAGGCCCAGGCCTCCCCCCCCAGCAGCCTCCCTCCCGAGTGCCCTCTGCCTGTGCTGGCACCTTCGCCAGACCAGCAGACTGATGCGCCCCCACATCAGGCCCAGGCCTCCCCCCACAGCAGCCTCCCTCCCGAGTGCCCTCTGCCTGTGCTGGCACCTTCGCCAGACCAGCAGACTGATGCGCCCCCACATCAGGCCCAGGCCTCCCCCCCCAGCAGCCTCCCTCCCGAGTGCCCTCTGCCTGTGCTGGCACCTTCGCCAGACCAGCAGACTGATGCGCCCCCACATCAGGCCCAGGCCTCCCCCCCCAGCAGCCTCCCTCCCGAGTGCCCTCTGCCTGTGCTGGCACCTTCGCCAGACCAGCAGACTGATGCGCCCCCACATCAGGCCCAGGTCTCCCCCCCAGCAGCCTCCCTCCCGAGTGCCCTCTGCCTGTGCTGGCACCTTCGCCTCAGCGCCCACCACCAGGTCCTTGAGCTCGATGATCTTGTCGTTGATGGAGGAGCGGTAGCGCTTCTCAATCGCATTGTGGGCTGTTCGCTTCTCGCCGCGGCTCTGGGCCGCACCCAGGGCCTTCCCACTGGCCACCAGCCGACTGATGGGCAGCTTGTCAGCGTCCACGACCAGCGGCACTGTCGCCAGGATGGCCCCGCCACTCACCAGGGTCTGCGGAGCCAGGCAGGGGTAGCCAGGCAGGGGTTACCGGGCGGGCCTGCGTGTGTAGACCCACTACCCTTCTGCCCTGCCCATGCCACCCACCTGCAAGGGCCCGGTCTGCACAGCCGTGCCAGCGGCCAGGGAGCCAACACCCGCCGCCTTCGCAGGGGCTCCCAGGTCTGCCTTCACGGCCGTCAGGAGCAGCGAGTCGGCCTTGATGAAGTGGGGCTGCAGCAGGACCTGCGACAGGGAGGCCTCCGCTCTCAACTGTGCCTGGGCCAGAAGCTGCCACCCCCACGCCTGGCCAAACCCTTACCGGGACCTGCTGGATCTGTGAGGCCACAGTGGCTGTTCCAGGGGCCACTGTGGTGGGGGCTGTGGCTGTCAACAGTGGCTGGGGGGCTGCGCTCTGAACCTGGGCGTGCACGGAGACTGGCGGGCCACCTGGCGAGCCAGGCCGAGGCTGTGGGGTGCTCCCGGGAGGGGTCCCTGCAGAAATAAAGGCTAGGCTGGAACCAGCTGCTCTCACCCACGCTCAGCCCTGCCTCGGGCCGGTCACTGTGTAACCTGGACAAGTCATTACTCTGGTCTGTTTCCTCCCGGCGCCCCTGCTGGGCTCTGAGTGGAGGTGCCCGCCCGCCAGCCAGGTGAGTCTGGAAGGCGGCTTGAAGTGACACCCAGCAGAGTGAGAGGCAAAGCTTATTAACCCCACAGAACCCAGTGCTGAGAGCACCCACGTCTCCCCCTGCGAATTCCTCTACTGACACCCACACTGCAGCGATCCCCCCCCCCCAGCTCCCCTCCCTCCCCACGCCCTCACCTGTGGAAAAGCAGCCGGCGGGGCTGGGATAGCCCGGCACGGGGCTGGGGGGCACGGGGCTGGGGCTCGAGTTGAGCTGCAGCGGGGCTGAGGCCGGAAAGCTCTGGGGCGGGAGGGCCCCTGGCAGGGGTTGTGGGGTGGGGGGCTGCAGGATGGTCAGTGGCACTGGCTCCTCCTTGATCCCAGGCCCGGGGGAGAAGGCAGGCCCAGGTGGGTACATCTTCAATGCGGACGCAGGCTGGGGAGGGGACAACAGTGGGGGGATGGCCTTGGCCCCCCCCAGAAAGCCTTCCAGTGGGGAGCTCATGGTGGCACGCGGTGGAGAGGAGCCGTTCGGGGAGCGGGCTTCCGGACGCGCGGGGTCTGCGCCCGCCGCTCCGCCCCCAGCGTACGGCGGGTCGAACAGGCCTGGAAAGTCGGCATCTTGGTTGCTGAGGAGCTGGAGCATGTCTGGGGAGGAGAAGAGACATGAGGACAGGAGCGGGGCTGGCGCGGGAAGAACGTCAAACATGTGCGCGCCCCATCCACACGGCTGCCATGTGAAGGCAGTGCACCATGGGCCGTGCTCCCAGGCACGCATGACAGGAGCCATAGTGGTGCCTCCCCTTATCAGAAAGTCGCTGCACCATGGGCAACGCATGCCCAGGGCCCCGAGGCCCCTTAACTCAGCCCACACCTCGGCTGAGACAGAACGGGGACCTGGGCACGAGGCTGCAGACTGCAGCGCGGCCCTCACCACCCCTCCTCCACCCGACAGACTGCTCGGAGCAGAGGCAGCTGCCGGCCACGTGTGTGCCAGCGAGTATCCGCATGTTCCGGGCAAAGCCCAAACTCTGCCGCACCGAGCACGCTGGGACCCTGTTCTGGGCTTGGTTTCCCTCCATAACAGCAACAGTGTCTGATCTGACGCCTCCTCCTGCACAGACAGGGCACCCTCTCCCCGACGGCCCAGCCTGGCCGCAGGCGCCTCCTCCAGCTGGGAAGCAGCAGGCTGGCGGGTCTGCCCAGGGCCCTCTCACCCACTATGGGCAGCTACCCACTGGGTCCAAGTTCCCTGCAGGACCCATGAGCACAACCCTGGGGCCCCCAAAGCCCCTGAGACCCTCAGCCTGAGCTCTCCGGCCGTCCACCCTGGGGTGAGGTGGGGCCCGGGCCTGGGCCTCCCTCCTGGCCTGTGGCCTCATCCCTTGGCCACATCCGGAGGGGAGGGGAGGGGAGGGGAGGGGAGGGGAGGGGAGGGAGGAGGGGAAGGGAGGGGACCCCAGGCCTCGAAGCCGGCAGCCGGCACAGCTGCCCTCAGGCTGCCTGGCTCCTTCCTCCGGCAGGTGCCCAGGCCCAGGTTACTGCGGTGGCTCCCTAAGGCCTCCAACAGAGCGAGATGGGGTGCCGCTCAGCCCCCCAAATAGACACACGTTGTGGGCCCCGAGGCTGTGAGGGTCATCACACACTGTCCCTTGCAGGCTCCCCCTCCCTCGCCGACCTCACTGCGCCTCGTTGACAGACGGGGAAACTGAGGCCCCAGAGGAAGGCGGACGGGACCCAGAATGGGGTTGGGGCGAGGCACCCGGCGCTCCCGCCGCGACAGAAAGACCATCCTCGGCGGGCGGCGCCCTCGCCCCAAAGGCCCGGCTGGGAGCGCGGGCGGCCGGGGGTCCCCCCTGGGGCTGGAGGGCGCCCGCCCCGGAGCCGGCGCGGCGTTTCCGATCGTGTCTGACAGCCGCCGGCCGGTCACGAGGGTCCTCGGAAATACCTTCGAACGTGCAGTCCATGCTCCGCGCCGCCGGGCGCCCGGGCCGCGGGTCTCCGTGCACCTGTCACCTGCCCGCTGCGCGGCCGCCCGCCGCCCTCCCGCCGCCGCCGCCGGGCATGGGGTGAGCGGGCGCGGCCAATCAGCGGCTGCGCCTCCGCCTCCGGGTCCCGCCCCGGCCCCGCCCACCCCGGCCGAGGCTCCGCTTCAGGTTTCACCCCGCGACTCAGCAGGGCCGGGGTTACCCGCGGGCACCCGCCCTTCACCCGCTGGGCGCCGGGGTTACTGGCGGTCACCGAGGCGGGCCCAGCCCCGGCCCGGCCCCGGCCCGGCGGCCTCACCGACTCTGACAGGCCGGGCGGACAAGGGCAGGCGTCACCCAACACCCCGAGTTCTGGGCTGGAAACCGCGGCTCGCTGACACCCCCACAGGCCTCCACCCCTCCAAGCCCGTTTCACCCTCTAGGCCAGCGGTTCTCAACCTTCCTGATGCCGCGACCCTTTCATACAGCTCCTCATGTTGTGGTGACCCCCAACCATAAAATTATTTTCGTTGCTACTTCATAACTGTAATGTTGCTACTGTTATGAATCGTCATGTAAATATCTGATATGCAGGATGTATTTTCATTGTTACAAATTGAACATCATTAAAGCATAGTGATTAATCACAAAAACAATATGTAATTATTTATATGTTTTCTGATGGTCTTAGGCGACCCCTGTGAAAGGGTCGTTCTGCCCCCAAAGGGGTCGGGACCCACAGGCTGAGAACCGCTGCCCTAGAGAATGGGACAACCACGTCCTTGGCAGGAAAGAAGGAACGGAGATACGGTCGCGCTTAAGTGAGGCCCGAGTGGGACCTCCCCTTCCAGGGGCTCCGAATGAGGACACCCCGACCCCAGATGCACCCCCAGAGAACACTGCGGCTCCTGACCCCACACAAACGCCCCTGCACAGAGGGACCTGCTGGGTCTGGGAGGGGTGAGTGTGTGTGTGGTCAGTGAAGTCTTCTGTGTCCCCCAAAGTCTCCTAGCCCCCGAGCAGTCCAGGGAAGGCCTGATTCATGCACTGGAGGGTCCCTACGACAGGTGAGGAGGGCAGAGTGTCAGCCCCAGGGTGACAGGCTCTGGGGGTCCTTGAGGGGGTACCTAGGCCCATCTCTCTCTGTGCGAGGTCAGAGTTGAACAGGTGAACAGAGCCTGGCCAGCAGTGCAGCCACCGCAAGGCCTGGTCAGCCTACGGCTGCAGCCCCGGCCCAGCCCTCCTGCTCCCGGGCTCCTGCCAATTTGGAGGGGGCCACCCTGGGCAGGCAGCATGGCAAGGGGGCAGGTGGTGCTGGGTCAGAGCCTCTCCAGGAGCCTCCATGAGGAAACTCGACCTCACCTCGCCACCTCACACACACCAGCCCTCCCTCGCATGGCCGTGCAGGGCTCCCCCCGCCCCCTCCCCTGCCTGTGCTCCGCTCTCCCTCACTCAAAAGCACACACCCAGACAGCTGGGCAGGGCGCCCCCTCCCGGGGCCATTCTGTCCTTACTGGGTCCGCGTGTCCAGCCCTCACTCTCCTGCCCCATCCTCTTCACCAGTTTCTTGCCTCGTTTTGTTTTCCGTTTCTCACACCTTTGTGCTCGGCTCCGGGGGACGGCTCTCAGTGGCCCTCCCAGAGGAGGGCTGGCCTGGGCAGAGGACTCAGGCTCAGCGAGGACTTGGGGAGACGGGGCCTGGGGGCCGCGAGGAGGCCAGCCAGCCCTGAACCCGTGCCCGCCCTGCCCCATCTCACTCCTCCCTGGAGCTAGACCTGCTGGCCAATCTCTGCGGAGCTGGTGCCAATTTGAAAGCCAGCCCCAGAGCCCCCCCCCCCCCCCCCGCCCCCAGATACAGCCACGGGGAGACTGTCCCTCACCTGCTGTGTGACCCTGGGCAGGGCGCCCCGCCCCTCCCCCGGTCTCCAGAGGAGACTCTGAGAGCAAGTGTGGGAAGCACCGCCACCCACAGAGGCTGGCCCCTCTGCAGCAGGGATGGTCTGGCCCTGGCAGGCGGTGAGCCGGGCACGGAATGGTCATATCCATTTGGGGAGTTCAGGGCGAGACAGGAGAGGCAGCAGGGTGTGCAGTTTAAGGCGCTCCTCTCCTGCCTCACCTGGCCCCGCCTCTGGGAGCCAGGACAGTGCGCCCAGGAGGCTGCCGGCTCCCAAACTGTGCAGCAACCTTGAGCCCTCGGAGCACTGGGCCTCCTGCAGGAAGGCAGGCTCAAAGGCACAGAGGCTCCTGCGTGCACCCTCAGAACTTAGGGGAAGAGAAGGAGGTGCAGACTCGGCCTCAGTACCACCACCCCCCCCCCCCCCCCCCAATTCTCACCTTCCCTGCCTCCTCCTCCAGCCTGAATCCCTCCTTTTTCCTCTCCTTCCTCCTCTTCTGCCCTGATTCTATCAGGACCCAACAGGAAACCTGAAACCCCTCCCTCCCTGGCTCTGCCTTCAAGCCTCCCTCTGAAGGGAGATGTGGGTCAGCCTTTTATTCTCTGGCCTGTTTATTCTGTGAGGCCACAATAGAAACCCTGGGAGGCCCCAGACCATAAACTTGCAGGAGCCCAGCTATGACCATCACAGAAGCCTACAGCCCATCCAACCTGCATGAGGCCTCGAATCCCAAACTCTGCTTACATGCCTCCCAGGACAGGAGGCTCACCACCTCTGTGACGTGGCCTGGTTCAGGAAGCCCAGATCTGTATCTGGTAACAACTACTGTCCTTCCCTGTGTCTGCTGTGTGTCAGGCCCGTGCCAGGCACTGAAGATACAGGGACGCCGCCCGAAGGCCTTCCCTCGTCGGCGGAGATGGACAGTTTGCAGTCCATGGAGGAAGGCGGGTGCAGGGGCGATGAGCACAGGAAGACACTGAGGCAGGGTGGAGTGTGAAGGGCCCCAGGGGATGCCGCAGGCAGGGCAGGCCTCTCTGAGGAAGTGACCCCGAGTAAAGCGAGGGGGTGGGCCACAGGGAGGGAGGGCGTCCTGGGCCGATGGAACAGCAAGTGCAAATGCCCTGGGGTGGGTGCAAGTGGTGTGCCGACAGGAGGCCAGTGTGGCTGCAGCGGGTGTGAGGGTGGAGGTCAGGGAGGCAGCGAGGAGCTGGGATTCCAACCCCAGCTGCCCGTCACCTGCAAGGTCGCCAATCCTCCAGGGCACTGTCCTGTGCAGCCCAGATCGCGAGGTGGCACAGCGTGACGGATGTGCAACAGCATAGCAGCCTCCCATGCGGGGACCTGAGGCAGCTCGGGCCCCAGCGGCCACCTCTGCCTCCTGGACAGAGGGTGCAGGGCCGGGTGGGCGCTCCCCGATACTCCAGGGAGCGGGGCTGCCCTGGGCTCCCACCAGCACTGCCTCACCACCCCAAGGACTCAGGTCAGCGGCTCAGTCCTCAGGGCACGGGCTGCCCAGGGGTGCGAGCAGGCGCTGGCTTTTCCTGGATGCAGTGGGCCCTGTGGATGATGAGGAAACTAAGACGCAGAGGGCAGCCGCGTGCCAGGTCCCACGGCTGCCACGTGGAGAATCTGGGCACAGACCCAGGCGCCCAGCGCTAGAACCCACCCCGCCAGCCCTGCTGCCCAGAGCCCGACTCCTGCCTGACTTGCCGGCACTGTCTCAGCAGGAAAGCAGCACACAGCCCTCTAAGGCTGGGCGCGCGGCCTCCCTGCCAGCCCCCGGGAG